TTTTTTTTTTTTGAGACAGAGTCTTGTTCTGTTGCCCAGGCTGGAATGCAGTGTCGCAATCTCTGCTCACTGCAACCTCTGCCTCCTAGGTTTGAGCGATATTCCTGCCTTAGCCTCTTGAGTAGCTGGTATTACAGGCGCCCACCACCATATCTGGCTAATTTCTTGCAAATTTAGTAGAGACAAGGCTTCGTCATGTTGCCCGGGCTGGTCTTGAACTCCTGACCTCAAGTCATCTGTCCACCTCAGCCTCCCAAAGCACTGAGATTACAGGCATGAGCCACCATGCCTGGCCTCCTGGGAGGTATTTGAGGTTGCTGGGTATTGGGTGTGGGAAGGAAAATGCCATGACCCTGTCCCTACACACCCTGCCCTGCAGAAAGCAGATGGGACCTGCAACACTAACTTCAAGAAGACACAGGCACTGGAGCAGGTGACGAAAGTGCTGGAGGACTTCGTGGATGGAGACCACATAATCCTGGTGAGCGGGACACCCATGTCCCAGAATGTAGCAGCTTAAGACAGCCACCATTTATTCTTGCTCCAAAGTCTGTGGTCTTCTGCTTTGGGTGGGGCTGGACTGATACTGGCTGGCTTTGCTCAGTCTGAGGTCAGCTGGTGGCTTGGCAAGGCTGGCTGGTCCAGGGTGGCCCTGCTTCCAGCTCTGCTGGTTGGCTCATGACTTGGCCACATGTCTCTCGACAGCAGGATGGCCTGGGCCTGTTCTCACTTGTTTCACTTGCCAAGAGAACAAGTGAAAATGCAAGGCCTCTTGATGCCTGGGCTCAGAATGGTCACTGTCATCTCTTGCTATTCAGCAAGTCATGTGACCCAGCCTGGACTGAAGGGTTTGGGAGGCAGACTCCGCCTCTGAATGGGAGTAGAAATTCATGGAATCCACCACTATTGTCCGTGCCACCTTGATGAATCCAAGCCCTCACTCCTCCACCCTGTCTTCCCCTGGCTCCCCTCTTCCTTCCTGGCTAGAGCCTGCCTACGTCTTTGGGGGCATGGTGTGAGGTGAGAGCTCAAGGTGGGTAAGCCCCCATGAGGTCCCCCTGCTAACCAAAGAACCCTCCCTGTCACACAGCAAAAGTACGTGGCACGCCTAGAAGAACTTCGTGAAGCTCTGGAGATCTCCCCCTTCTTCAAAACCCACGAGGTGGGAGCCCTGGCCGCCATGGGTGGATGTGGGGGTGTTGGGGTCCAGGTGCATGGAGGGAAAGCCATTGATGACAGGTCAAAGATATAAAAAGGGGCTGGGTGTGGTGGCCCGCACCTGTAATCCCAGCACTTTGGGAGGCCAAGGTCGAAGGCTTGCTGGAGCCCAGGGGTGCCAAGACCAGCCTGGGCAACATAGCAAGACCCCATCTCTATTAAAAAAGAAAAGAATGCCTGGTGGGGCAGTGTGCACCTGTGGTCCCAGGTAGTCAGGAGGCTGAGGCTGGAGAACTGCTGGAGCCCAGGAAGTTGAGGGTTCAGTGAGCTGTGATTGTACCACTGTACTTTTGTCTGGGTGACAGAGCAAGACCCTGTCTCAAAAAATAAAACAGGCATGGCTCATACCTGTAATCCCAGCACTTTGGGAGGCTGAGGCAGGTGAATCACCTGAGGTCAGTAGTTCAAGACCAGCCTGACCAACATGGTAAAACCCCATCTCTACTAAAAATACAAAACTGTCTCTACTAAAAATACAAAAATTATTCGGGCATGATGGCGTGCACCTGTAATCTCAGCTACTCGGGAGGCTGAGGCAGGAGAATCACTTGAACCTGGGAAGCGGAAGTTGCAGTGAGTCATTGCACTCCAGCCTGGGCAACAAGAGTGAAACACTGTCTCAAAAATAAACATAAAATAAGATAGACCAGGTGTGGTGGCCCATGCCTATAGACCCAGCGCTCTGGGAGGCTGAGATGGGAGGATCGCTTGAACCAAGGAGTTCGACAGCAGCCTGGGCAACATAATGAGACCTGTCTCTACAAAAATAAAAATAAAAAATAGGCCGGGCGCGGTGGCTCAAGCCTGTAATCCCAGCACTTTGGGAGGCCGAGGCGGGTGGATCACGAGGTCGAGAGATCGAGACCATCCTGGTCAACATGGTGAAACCCCGTCTCTACTAAAAATATAAAAAATTAGCTGGGCATGGTGGCACGTGCCTGTAATCCCAGCTACTCAGGAGGCTGAGGCAGGAGAATTGCCTGATCCCAGGAGGCGGAGGTTGCGGTGAGCCGAGATCGCGCCATTGCATTCCAGCCTGGGTAACAAGAGTGAAACTCCGTCTCAAAAAAAATAAAATAAAATAAAAAAATAAGGCCAGGCGCGGTGGCTCATGCCTGTAATCCCAGCACTCTGGGAGGCTGAGGTGGGTGGATCTCCTGAGATCAGGAGTTCAAGACCAGACTGACCAACATGGAGAAACCCCATCTCTACTAAAAATACAAAATTAGCCAGGTATGTGGCATATACCAATAATCCCAGCTACCTGGGAGACTAAGGCAGGAGAATTGCTTGAACCTGGGAAGATGAAGATGGAGGTTGCAGTGAGTCAAGAGCTTGCCATTTGCACTCCAGCCTGGACAAGAGCGAAACTCTGTCTCAAAAAATTAATTAACTTAATTAAATTAAAACGGCATCACTGAGAGCTGACTGCCAAGCACCCGATGAGTAGGGGCTGATACCATTATTCCACTCTACAGAGAAGGAAACCAATTATCAGTAGCAGTCCACGGGGCCTAGGAAGTTGCTGTCTCTTTCTAGGTAAAGGCATTATCCAATTTCTAGTTTTTAAAAAAAATTTTTTTGTCAGCGTCAGGATCTCATTCTGTTGCCCAGGCTGGAGTGCAGTGACGTAATCATAGCTCACTATAGCGTCAATCTCCTGGGTTCAAGTGATCCTCCTGTCTTGGCCTCCTGTCGCTGGAACTGTAAGTGTGCATTACCACGACCAGCATTCCACTTCTTTAGTCTCTACCAGGCTCTCTTCACTCATTCTGGATCCTGAAGGCATTTGAGTTTGCACTCTGGCTTAGCAAAGGCCAGGCACAGTGGCTTATGCCTGTAATTCCAGCAGTTTGGGAAGTCGAGGCAGGAGAATCACTTGGACAAAGGGATGCTTCCCATCCCAGGTGGGACAGAGCAGGGATGGAACCAGGTTTCAGCACAGTACTTACAACAGTGTGCGAGTAAAGACTTACCAAATGTTTATTTCTGGAATAAATTTAATATTTTTGAACTGCAGTTGACTGAGAGTAACTAAAACCAAAGAAAATGAAACCACGGGCCAGGGGGACTAAGTTTATTCCTCTCACTTTGACTGTGAGGACGCAGAACCACAGAGAGGTTAAGACACCTGCCCAAGGCTGCATAGCCAGGAGGTGACATAGCCAGGATCTGCACTCAAGCAGCCGAGGCTCCAGGGTTCATGCCGTCAGCCACCCTGCTCTGATGCCTGTCCGCAGAGGACCTTGGCCAGGGCCTGCTCCTCCCCTAACCTACTGTCTCTTCCCCCGGCAGGTGGTGGGCAGCTCCCTCCTCTTCGTGCATGACCACACCGGCCTGGCCAAGGTCTGGATGATCGACTTCGGCAAGACGGTGGCCTTGCCCGACCACAACACACTCAGCCACAGGCTGCCCTGGGCTGAGGGCAACCGTGAGGATGGCTACCTCTGGGGCCTGGACAACATGATCCGCCTCCTGCAGGGGCTGGCACAGAGCTGAGTTGCTCCGCCACCGCCAGGTTTACTAATTGGATGGCACCAGTCTAGCGGGAGGAGTCCCGAGATGCCATGGGGGACCTGAAGTTGGCCAGGGATGGGAGAGGTTGTGTCATGTGCCACGAGACCAATGTGGAAAGGTCTGAGGGGCCTTGGGAGACCAGGTAGCACCTGGCCCATCGTGATGCAGGAGCTGTGGGGGCCTGGAAGGAACATGATGAGGCAGTGAGTCAGAAAAACCAGAACGGGGTCCCCTGATCTGCTGGGAAGGTTTCTGAGGGGCTGCCAGAGGCCACAGCAAAAGCATGCTGCCCTGAGAGCACTCAGTTCAGATGTCACAGGGACAGCGTGACGGGGGCCTAAGGCTACACGAATCACCTATGATCTGCCTCCCTGTCAGCCTCCAGGCTGCCAGTTAGCTGAGGCTGGGGACTGGGTCAAGCATCACTGGTGAACGGATGTAGGCACCACTGGACCATTTGGGGAAAGTGACAGTCCTGTGTCTTCACTGGGGAGCCATTTGAATCCTGAGTGACAAAAGGCCCAGAGGGCATTACCTTACGGGACTGGACGCAGCCTGAAGGCTGAGACCTCTGGGTGGGCACAGTTCACTGAGGTCCTGCCCTGCCATGGCCCAGTGGGATTCTCCGTGTTCCTCAGAGGACTCTGCTGACCTCCTGCAGACCCAAACCACAGCCACCTGCCAGCTACTGTGCCAGCAGAATCTCACTCCTCTGCGCATCGGATCCGGCCTCAGGACTTCCTCCTCCTGCCTGACCGTCAGGCTTCTCTCTCCTTTCTCAGCCAACAGCAGTGGCAGAAAAGAGGTTTGGAGGCAGGGAAAGCAGGCTTCTCCCTGCCTCTCAGAGCTGCTGCGCTCAGGACCCCATCCCAGGCCCCTGCAGGGAAAAGCACAGGGTATGTGTCAGAGGCCAGGGTGGGTGGGGCTGCCGGCCACAACCCTGGCCTGCAGCCTGGTCCAAACCAAAGACTGTTAGAACCCTGGGGTGTGGCTGCGAGCCCCTCCATCCCCCTCCTGCAGCACCCACAGCTAGGTCTTCCCGGCCCACGAGGCTGGGCTGGCGGACAGGTACCTACCTCTTCCCTAAGCTGAAGCTCCCACACTGTCTTCCAGGGCCAAGGGCTCTCCTTTTCTACTGACCATCCTGATACTTATTTATATGAGGCAGTTGCTGGACGGGGGAGTACTGGAAGCAGGAGGCAGAATGGCTCTGCTGAGCCTCCTGCCCATGACGACACCCCAATAAACAAGACATTCAGAGTCAATGTCATGAAGCTTTTTCTTCTACATCTGGAGTGTATCTTGGCAAAAGTGCTGGGTGGAGTAACAAGATAACAAGCAGTTTGGGAAAGAGGCAGGCTCCAAGCAGGCTACTTCACTCACTCAGCACATCTGTACCTCGGCAGCTACTCTTGTGCCTGGATGTGCTGGGCAATGCAGGGGACCCAGTGGTGACCAAGGCTGCTCCAAGCTCTGGCTGGCATGGGGGATGCACAGGCAGGCTGATCAGAGCTGGGATGGTGACACACATCCTGTTTACCCTGTCACTGGTTAGAAAAACTGCACTGTAGCTGGGTAGGGGGGGCTCACACCTGTAATCTCAGCACTTTGGGAGGCTGAGGCAGGTGGATCACCTGAGGTCAGGCGTTTCAGACCAGCCTGGGCAATATGGCAAAGCCCCATCTCTACAAAAATACAAAGGATTAGTCAGGCATGGTGTGCGCATGCCTATAGTCCCAGCTACTTGGGGGACGGAGGCAGGAGAATCGCTTGAACCTGGGAGGTGGAGGCTGCAATGAGCTGACATCGCACCACTGCACTCCACCCTGGGTGACAGAATAAGACTGTCTCAAAAAACAAAAAAATGAAACACGGCACTGTACAGTTTCCCTAAATGAGACTGGCTCAATTAGGGACACAGCAGTGATCAAGACAGGCCTGTTCCTCCTATTTCAGAGTGGAGGGGGCAGGTATTTGCAAAACTAGTAATCACACACACTCACTAGATATTTGTATGGGTGGATAGGGAAGTTTGTGGTCAGCACCATAATCAGGAAGCCAGGACACAACCTGGCTGAGACACTGACTACTTAGCTTGAATCCTGACCCTGCCACTTGCTAGTCATGTGACCTTAGGCCAGCGATTCCACCTCTCCAGGCCTCAGTCCTGCCATCTGTCAAATGAGGGGCATCTAGCACCCCCCGTACAGGGCTGCCAGATCTGCAGAGTTAACACAGAGGGACTGACGCAGTTAACTGCTCTCAGATGAGCTTTAAAACAGTGAGGATGTGAGGTGGGGAGGGACGCCGAGACTGGGGCTGTGGACTCGTCCCTGAGGTAGTGACACCTGAGCCCCGATGGAGAAGTTAGGGAGTGATCGCAGCAGAGGGCTGGAGGATGGACCCAATGCTCCGGGGATCTGAAAGGCCAGCATGACTGGCAGGGGGCAAGCGTGAGGAGGAGCCTGGGCTAAGGAGGGGTGAGCTGAGGCTAGCACAGTGTAGTATCCCTGTCCTGTGAGCAGCAGAGGGTCCAGGCAGGAGGCTCCTTAGATATCTAGTGAGGTGACAGAGGCGGTCCCCATTGACAAACGGACCGATGTGACATTCAAATGGGATATGCAGGTACAGGGTCTTGCCCTGGGGTTGGGACAATGCCCAGGCCTGGAAGACATGGAGTAGGGGTAGCCCTGATGAAGGATCCCTTGGCTGGAGGCCCGAGACCCAGCTCAGACCTTGGGGTCATCCCACATAGAGAAGTGGTGGCACACTTCAAATGGTGACTGAGCTAGGCTGCAGCCTGGGACCGCAGCCCTGGCTAATGGCTGCAGCCCTGCGGTCTGAGGAGCAGAGCCTGGCCACAGAGGCCAGCCCGCACCCCACCCGCCGGCACTACATACACGCGGCCGTCAGTGGCCCGTGAGGGCGAGAAGTCCGTCAGCTGCAGGTTGCTCTCCCGGACTTGGTCGTAGTCCCACAGCTGATAGTGCCAACTCTTGCCCTGCTTAGACAGCAGGTAGACAGCTCCCGGGGAGCTCTCCTGTGGCAGGGATGGTGGCTGGCAGGGCGCGCCCCGCACTGGGTGGAATAGGCCCGGCAGCTCGGGGTCCTCAGTGTAGCCGAGACTCGGAACAGCGGGAACACCCAGCAGGATCCCTGGGGGAGAGGAGGAGATGGTGAGTGGCAATGACTGAGCCAGGACCAGGTGCACGCTAAGTCCCACCCCCTCCCAGCCCTCCAGGGTGGTGTGGCTTCCATTCCTAGGTTATAGTAACATTAGTGGCAGCCAGTGGAGTTGGGATTTGGACCCACCACGGCATCTGGCTCCAAAGCTCTAGGCGTTTTAAGTCTTGCCTTGCCTGGCCTGACAGCACAGGGAAGTGGGGAGGCAGCAATAGATGGAGCACATGTGGTCACCCGGTCATCTGCAGTTGTCCAGGGAAGAGAGGCTCCAGGAGGAACTGGCAAGGCCACACAGCCATAAAGAGGCTGAGCAGAGCCTCCCCCGGACCCCAGACCTCCTCACATGGACCAACCTGGTCTTCTTTCAGGCAGGCCGAATGAGGAAGATGGTGCTGGTTATGCTTACAGAGACATGTCACATGCCAAGCCATTTTTTTGTTTGTTTTTTTTGCGATGGAATCTTGCTCGGTTGCCCAGGCTGGAGTGCAGTGGTGTGATCTCAGCTCACTGCAGCCTCCACCTTCTGAGTCCAAGCAGTTTTCCTGCCTCAGCCTCCCAGGTAGCTGGGATTTCAGACATATACCACCATACCTGGTTAGTTTTTTTATTTTTCATAGAGACAGGGTATCACCATGTTGGCTAGGCTGGTCTCAAACTCCAGACCTCAAGCGATCCACTCACCTTGGCCTCCCAAAGTGCTGGGATTACAAGCATGAGCCACTGCCCCTGGCCAAGCCTTGTTCCAAGAGTGCTCTGTGCTCTGCCGACAAGGCAGCCTTATGGGGTGGGTACTACTTTTACCCCCAATTTTCAGATAGGGAAAAGAGCAGCCCAGAGAGGTGACGATACCTGCCCAGAGTCATGGAGCCTAGAGGTGGCCAGGCCAGGCCTGGAGCCCAGACTGTCTTGATCCTGAAATCTGCGCCCTGAGCTTCTGTTTGTAGAAGCTCCAACTGGCGGACACCTCGGCCCCAGCCTGCCCGGCGCTATGCTAAGTGTCCTGTGGGGACCGGGATGCCCAGCTCTGGTCCCTGTCTTGAGAGTGCACAGCCTGGCTGGGGGAGGCACTAGCACAAGGGATGAGAATGTCAGGAGGGTTAATGGAGGCCGGGGAGACCCGAGATGAGGGGTGCAGAGATGAAGGAGGGGAACCCACCTGCGCTCACTGCCCAGTGGGCCTTGTAGCCCTTCCTCTGACACGGCTCATGGTTGAAATCTTCGTCATAGCTGGTGCTGGCATTAAGGTAAAAACGATGGTGTGGTCCTGGGACCCACCCTTCACCTCCCTTGCCCTCCTCCCTCCCAGGCCCTGGGATACGGGATGAGCAGGGGATGTCCAGTGACCAGGTGCTGCAGGACGAGGTCTCTGTTGGGACCACCCAGGCCGCCAGAGAGCAGCTTAGCCTGGCAGCCCAACACCTCCTGGGCCAGCCTGCCCATGTCGGCCACTGCAGGGTGAGAGCACACAGCGGGGGCTCGCTGGGTGTGGCCAGCACCATGCTGCATTCCCACAGGGGGTGACACTTCCCACCCTCACCATGACCTTCCACCCCTTGGTACACATGCAGAAAACAAGGCACAAAGAGCGTCAATGGCTTGTCCACGGCCACAGCAAAGAGGTGGCAGAGCTAGGTTTCCAACCCTGGCAGCCAGCTCAAGTCCATCTTGTAACCTCTCTGCTCTACCAGCCAGTGGGAAGGGCCCAAAGAATGGAAAGAGATCCCCCGACTCGGCTGTTAGCACCCCACCCAGCCTCGTGAAGAGGTGACGGAGCACATGGTTACCCAACTCACCTGAGAACATCTCTCCCTGGGCCGTGTAGCCTCTTTCCATGGCTACCTGCACGAGTCTCTCCAGGGGGACGCCACTCGGAGGTGACAGGAGAGTACCTGCCATCCACAAGGCCACCAGCCCGCATCTGGGAACAGACAGGCCTATGTCACAGCCCCTTTACCGGGAAGCTGGAGTGGGGAAACAGGTTTGCTGTCCTGGAGGAGTTGCCTCCCATCTCCCAGGCCAGCGAGGGAGACCTGACTCCCCTTCAGGGGAGCGGACAGCCGAAGCCAGAGCCCAGGGCTGGCGGGCTGGGGTTGGAAGAGTGGGGAGAGGTCACCTCAGCTTCCTGGGAGGAGGTGCCACGGTGGAGTTACAGAGATGGACCGGGCTTATTCATTCACTCATTTGATGTTCCAACGATGTATGTTTACTATGCAGGCACCCAGGAGCCTGGGTGGAAAGTTCCCCCATTCCTTCCCTCCTCCTCCCACCAGGGAAAATCCTCCCCCATTCTCCCGATCAGTCCCTAAGAAGCCCAGCAAAGGGAGAATAAGGGCGGCAGAGGGGCTGCAGGTCCCGCACCGGGGCACGTACTGAGGGCCTTCTTGGATGAGGGACGGCAGGTCTGCACAGAAGAGGATCCACTGCAGGTCACCTCGGAACCTGAAGCAAAGCCATGCTCAGTCACCAGGAAGCCAGCTCTGAAGCACTTCCCACCTTGAGGGCTGGCTGGGAGCAGGGCAACCAGGGACGATGAAGGAAACACCAGCCTGGCTGTCCTAAGGCTGAAGGCGGTTCCTGGTTCAGTCACTGACTTCCCCTCCCCAAGCCTCAGTTTCCGCATCTGGTTCGTGGGAATGGTCCTCCTGCCTGCCTGCTCCCTGTTCTCTCTCAGTTAGTGAAGGGTGAGGAGCAAAGGGTGGCACTTGGTAACCAGGAGCCAGAGAGGTTTATCTGAGGAAATTTCTCAGAGGGGTTATCTGTATACCCAACTCTCCTTTTTTTGAGACACGGTCTTGCTGTGTTGCCCAGGCTGGAGAGCAATGCTGTAATCAAAGCTCACTTAAGCCTCGACCTCCCAGGGTCAAGTGATCCTCCTACCTCAGCCTCCTGAGTAGCTAGGAGTATAGGCAGGTACCACCATGTCAAGCTAATTCTTTTTATTTTATTTTTGAGATAGAGTTTCGCTCATTTTGCCCAGGCTGGAGTACAACAGCACAATCTCGGCTCACTGCAACCTCTGCCTCCTGGGTTCAAGTGATTCTCCTGCCTCAGCCTCCCGAGTAGCTGGGATTACAGGTGCGCATCACCATGCCCAGCTAATTTTGTATTTTTAGTAGAAACTGGGTTTCATCATGTTGGCCAGGCTGGTCTTGAACTCCTGATCTCAGGTGATCCGCTCACCTCGGCCTCCCAAAGTGCCGGGATTACAGGCGTGAGCCACCACGCCCAACTCTTTTTATTTTTAGTCGAGATGAGGTCATGCTATATTGCCCAGGTTCCAAATTCTGTGATTTGTTTTTCCCTTCAAGTCTGTTTCTGCACCTGTTCAACAGTGAAAATCCTTTAACTTTGGGGAAAAAAAAAACCAGGTAACAACATGCTTAAGGTCTAAGATATCACCTTGATAGTGAATCTTTGTACCCCAGGAGAGGACACTCAGACAGTTTGGTTACTATAGCCCCCCGGGGTTCAGAACAATGTGCTTATTATTCCTTTTTTTTTTCCTTTGAGAGGAAGCCTGGGCTTCCGTCAGCTGTGATCCAGCTACTGTATTCCAGCCTGGGCAACAGAGCGAGATCCTGTCCCAAAAACAAACAAAGAAACAAACAAAGATACAGCCTGGAGCCCTGCTGCCAGAGTTCAAACTGGACTCTTTCTCTTTTTCACACTGGCTAAGAGGCTTCACTTCTATGAGCCTCAGTTTTCTCAGCAGGAAAATGAGACAATAATAGTTTCTTTTTTTTTTTTTTTGAGACAGAGTTTTGCTCTTGTCGCCCAGGCTGGAGTGCAATGGCGCAATCCTGGCTCACCACAATCTCCTCCACCCGGGTTCAAGCAATTCTCCTGCCTCAGCCTCCTGAGTAGCTAGGATTACAGGCATGCACCACCACGCCTGGCTAATTTTGTATTTTTAGTAGAGATGGGGTTTCTCCATGTTGGTCAGACTGGTCTCGAACTCCCAACTTGAGGTGATTCGCCCACCTTGGCCTCCCAAAGTGCTGGGATTACAGGCATGAGCCACCACATCCAGTGACAATAAAAGTTTCTACCTCATGAGGTTGTTGAGAGGATTCAATAAATTAATATTTAAACACTTAAAACAGCGCCTGACATAAGCTAGGCATGCAGTAAAGGGTGGTTGTAATTTGCCTCATCTCAGTGGGGGCATTTAGGGAAGATTGTAAATGTGTCTGGAGGCTGAGCACAATGGCTCATGCCTGTAATCCTAACACTTTGGGAGGCCGAGGCAGGTAGGCCACCTGAGGTCAGGAGTTCAAGACCAGCTTGGCCAACATAGCAAAACCCCATCTCTACTAAAAATACAAAAATTAGCTGGGCATGGTGGCGGGCGCCTATAATCCCAGCTACTTGGGAGGCAGAAGCAGGAGAATGGCTTGACCCCGGGGTGGGGGTAGGGGGAATGGCAGGGGCAGAGGTTGCAGTGAGTGGAGATCACACCAGTTCACTCCAGCCTGAATGAAAGAGGGAAACCCCGTTTAAAAAAAATGTGTCCGGAGAACCTGGAGTTTCAATGTGAGTCCAGGCAACTCATTTCTCCCTTTTTTTCTTCAGCCAGGCAATCATTAAACCTCAGTCCCATGGCCCCAGGCCAGGTCTGGTGCTCTGCTTTGCCCTCCCACCTGGGTCCCTGGATGCCCCAGTTTCCTGGAGTCTCCTAAGGATCACTTCCACAGGCAGCCTCCCTCCCTGCACAGAGCCTCTCCAGGGCTCCCCCATCCCCTCAGGACAGTCCCAGTCCCTTTCCACATCCGTGCAGCTCTGCTCTGCGGGGCTGGCTCTGCCTGCTTTCACAGCCTCCTGTTCGCCACTTCCCCCGGCAAGTTAAGGACACATTTGCAGTTCCTTGAATAGAACATGTCCTCATTTCACTCCAGGCCCCTGCACAAGCTGTTTACTCTCATCACACAGTCTTTGCACGACTTGCTCAACAGCTCTCAGGGTTCCTCTTGCCCAAGAAGCTCCCCCTGACTCCCCAAGTCTGGGTCAGGCACCCCTCTGGACTTTGTCATGACGGCCCTAACCACTTTGGATTGTCACTCTCTGGAAAGGTGGAGGGGTCTGTCTCCCTCCACTAGACTGGGCACTTTTTTTTTTTTTTTGGAGACACGAGTCTCGCTCTGTCATCCAGGCTGGAGTGCAGTGGTGCAATCTCGGCTCACTGCAACCTCCGCCTCCAGTGTTCAAGCAATTCTCCTGCCTCAGCCTCCCTCGTAGCTGGGACTACAGCTGCACTCCACCACACCCGGCTAATTTTTGTATTTTTAGTAGAGATGAGGTTTCACCATATTGGTCAGGCTGGTCTCCAACTCCTGACCTCAGGTGATCCGTCGGCCTCGGCCTCCCAAAGTAGCTGGGTTTACAGGCATGAGCCACCACGTCCGGGTCTGGACGGGGCACTTGTGAGGACAGCTTCTTCACTGCTGGAGGCACACCACCAAGGAAGGGGTCAACGTGGGGGACTTAAGTAGTCAGGCTGTTTGATCTTGAGGACACGGGAACCCCCCAAGAGGAGATGGCTGCAGTGATCTGCGGAGAAGTGACTGGGGCAGAGCCTGGGTGGTGGGTGGGGTATGGAGACCCTACCGGTCCTTGTGCAGCTTCAGGAGCCTCTTCACATCTTCTCTGCCCTTGGGGACCGGGCCAGCCTTCTCCAAGGCCTCCTTCAGGAGCTGGCTCTTCTCCAGGCCGAAGACAAGAGGGCGAGCAGGCCCTGAGGCAGCGGGTGGAGGAGGCAGTGGGGGCGGTGGGGGAACCGGGGTTTGCTGACTCCAGGGACGGGATGGAAAAGCTAAAAAGTCCAGGGGACTTGGGGGTAAAGGAGGTGGAATGCTGCTGGCTTGGGGTGCAGAGGTTCTTGGAGGAGGGATTGGTGATTTTAGGGGAGGGGAGCTTGGTGAAGTCATTTTGGGGTCTATAGGAGGTGCTGAGGGGTTCAGAAGGTGGGGAGGGAGGGATCCTCCAAGAGGACGGCCTCAGGGACGGAAATTTTAAAAGTTGAAGAGCTGAATTCCAGAAGCGGGGGGCAGAGCAGTGGGTGTGAAAGGACCAGGGCTAACATTTGAAACCGTGGGAGCAGGAACTGCGAGGCTGACTCGTCTTAAGGCACCTGTCGGTTAACAAGGTGGGGCCCTTCAATCCGGAACCGGATCTGTGGTACGAGCCGGGATGGGCAGGTTAGCTCGGGAGGCTTAGGTGGAGAGTTAGTAGGAGTTAACTCATTCTTTGGCGCTGAATGTGGAAACTCGTAAGTTTGGGATATGAAGGCTCAGACCTAGAGTGAGGTGCCTGAAAGGTGCGACTTAGGAACCCGGGGCTAAAGAGTCGGAGAACTTAGGCTCAATCCCCTCTCACATCCCAGGCCCGAGTTCGGAACCTTTGAGCTGACCTTTTGAGTCAGAGGCAAGAGGTCAAAAAGGACACCTGGCAGGGAAAGCGGCCTAGTTGTGGAGAAGGTCCTGGAGTCAGAGCAATTAAAAAACCTCTGTGGGTTGGAGAAGACTCAGAGGCCAGAGGGCGCCGCGAATAACCGGTGGAACAGGGAAAGGAGTCAGGAAGTGAAATGAGCCGCCCACTCCGCAAAATGGCGGCCCCCGCACACCCCCTTTCCAATATCATGCGGTATCACCTTCAATAGTGCCCGCCCATTTGGCGGTCACGTGACAGAAAACGCAGCGCATGCGGGGAAGAGGCGGGGCTTCAAACAGGCTTGCCTCCGGAAGACACCGCAGCGCGAAACGCGTCCCGATTGGCAAAACACTCGTGACCTTCACTGATTGGTCCGTAGACCCTAGAGCTACGGAAGGAGGTGGGCTTGTCGAAAGTGAGGCGGGGTCTTCTACCTAGGCGGGAACCCAAATATCGTTTTGATTGGCAAGAACTGAGCCTAGAAACGAGTCTTGCTCTGATTGGTCAAGCTACTGACTTTCCGCGTGGGGATTGGCTGGCGAAAGGTAGAGGCGGGGCCAGGAGAGAAAGCTTCGTGGTTTAGTCTCAGAAAAGTAGAAGGCGCCGCTTGAGAAAACTGCGGCCCCGTCGGAAGGTAACCTCGGGCGCAGACAAACATCGGCGGAGTGCGGGTGGTGCGCTTGGTGTCTGAGGAAACTTCTGCCGCTCGAGGCCAGGCTACCCAAGACCCGTCCTTTCTTCCTTTACTGGCTTTAACATCCGGGTTTTTTCTCTCGGACTGCCCTTCGGACGCGTGGGCCAATAGGAATCGCCATTTGGGGGAGCTCCGCCCACTGGGTCGCGTAGAGCATCCTGGAACTCGTAGTAAATCTCTGGAGAGTTCCCTCCGCACGCGGGCTCAAGAAGCGGGTCCTACGCACGCTTTGTTGCCCACGCTGTGCCTCTGTCCTTCCCACTCCCGCCTTACCTGACTTCTTCTCGGAAGGAAGATCCTTGAGCAGCCCGTTAAGCCAACGTTGGGACAAAGGATTTGGAGAAAACCAGGGCTGAAGTCACGTTTTTCCTCCTTTAAGCCTTACCTCGACACTTCACTCCATGGCAGTTCCCGAGACCCGCCCTAACCACACTATTTATATCAACAACCTCAATGAGAAGATCAAGAAGGATGGTGAGTTCTCGGCATAGTCCGCACTCCAGGCTGTCCCGCACGGGCTGGTCTCCCTTCCACCCCCTGCACCTGCTTCTCTTTCTCAGTGTTCGTCCAAGCAGACTGTTCCAGTGAACCCTTTGGCCTTTACACAAACGACTTCCTCTGCCTTCAACACTCGTTAGTTCATCTTACACTCCGCCCTTTAACCTGGTCACTGTTGCTCATCTTACAAGGTTACAGGGCACAGGACCCCTCCTCCAGGAAGCCTTCCCTATCCCGCGTCCCTTCACGTGGCTGCCCCTGACTTCCTCCCATCAAGCCCGGATTCCTCTGGGCTGTCGTGAGGCTCGCTCTCCTCCCAGTGGCCTTTGAGCTCCGTGAGGGCAACGCCTGGGGCTTCTTGGTTACCGGCGTTTTCAGTGATCAGCGCACAGTGAAAATGTACTGGTGGCCAACGCTCTGTATCATGGGCTGGTCTATGCGCTTTTATATAAATCTGGATTACATTTAATCCTCGAAACAAGCCGGTAGGAAGAAGGCTATTGTTATTCCCACTCCTCAGATAAGAAGCTGAGACTGGGGTGATGTGACTTGCCCTGGGTTACATAGCAAGTAAAGTGGTTGCAGCCAGCGGTATATAACTCAGTTTTTGGCAGGGCGTGGTGGCCCAGGCCGGTAAGCGCAACACTTTGGGGGGCCGAGGCGGAAGGATCACTTAAACACAGGAGTTCAACATCAGCCTGGGCAAACAAAGCGAGATTTTGTTTCTAACAAAAAAAAAAAAAAAAAAAAAAAAAAAAAGCCTGGGCATGGGTGAGTCATGTCTGTGGTCCCAGCTACTCGGGAGGCTGAGGTGGGAGGATCGCTTGAGCTACAGAGGTTGAGGCTGCAATAAGCTATGATTGTACTGCAGCCTGGGCAGATCAAGAACCTATGTAAAAAAAAAAAAAACTCAGTTATTGAAATCGGCAAGACTCTACTGCTTTCTCAAGTAAATTATCACCTTTATTGAACCTCATTTACTGTGTCTGAAAACTGAACAAAGTCATAATACCTTCTTTGCATGGATGTTGGGGGGAAATTAAATTAGCTAAATCTCGAAGTGTTTCTGTTTTATGGTACCTGGCAGCTAGGAACGGCTGGATAAATGTTAGCTCTTATCACCTCAAGAAAATTGTCAGGAGAAGCGAAGGAGCTTACTGGGATTCAGTTTGAGGTTACCAGTGAAGTTGCTCTTGAGGAAAGCAAAGCCTGCAGCCAGGTGCAGTGGCTCACGCCTGTAATCCCAACACACTAGGAGGCAGAGGCTGGTAGATCACTTAAAGCCAAGAGTTCGAGACCAGTCTGGCCAACATGGTGAAACCCTGTCTTTACTAAAAATACAAAAATAAGCCAGGTGTGGCGGTACGTATTTACTAAAAATACAAAATAAGCCAGCTACTTGGGAGGCTGAGGCAGGAGAATCACTTGAAACCCAGGAAACAGAGGTTTGTTTGTTTGTTTGCAATTTTTTACTTTTTCCCTCCCAGAACACGGGAAGGAAGCAGAATTCTTAGTCAGCAGAGTTCGCACCACTGTGCTCCAGCCAGGGCGATAGAGTGAGACTGTCTCAAAAAAAAAAAAAAAAAAAAACCCATGGCCGGGTTCGGTGGCTCACGCCTGTAATCCCAGCACTTTGGGAGGCCAAGGTGGGTGGATCATGAGGTCAAGAGATTGAGACCATCCAGGTCAACATGGTGAAACCCAGTCTCTACTAAAAATACAAAAAATTAGCTGGGCATGGTGGCATGTGCCTGTAATCCCAGCTACTCAGGAGGCTGAGGCAGGAGAATTGCGTGAACCCAGGAGGCGGAGGTTGCGGTGAGCCGAGATCGCGCCATTGCACTCCAGCCTGGGTAACAAGAGCGAAACTTCGTCTAAAAAAAAACAACAAAAAAAACCCCAGGAATGTAAATATTGCATATGCTTTTAGAGTGTGCTACCTAACCAGTATCAGGCAGTGCTGGGGGCACACTGGTGACATAGAATCCTGGTTTTATTTATTTATTTTGAGATGGAGTTTCGCTTTTATTGCCCAGGCTGGAGTGCAATGGGGCGATCTCAGCTCACCCCAACCTTCACCTGGGTTCAAGCGTTTCTCCTGCCTCAGCCTTCTGAGTAGCTGGAATTACAGGCATGCACCACCACACCCAGCTGATTTTGTATTTTTAGTAGAGATGGGGTTTCTCCATTGTTGGTCAGGCTGGTGTCGAACTCCTGACCTCAGGTGATCCGCGCACCTTGGCCTCCCGAAGTTTACAGGCATTGGGCCTGGCCCAAACCCTGATTCTTTAGGACAGTGACAGCCCATAGTAGTCAGGGCCATCATGCAGGAAGTTTAGGCAGAGTGTTGAGGGCTGGGATTGTAATCCCAGCACTTTGGGAGTCCGAGGCGGGTAGATCATGAGGTGGGGAATTCGAGACCAGCTTGGCCAACATGGTGAAAACTCGTCTCTACTAAAAATACAAAAAATTAGCTTGGTGTAGTGTTGGGTGCCTGTAATTCGAGCTACTCAGGAGGTTGAGGCAGGAGAATTGCTTGAACCCAGCTGGTGGAGGTTGCAATGGGCCGAGATTGCACCACTGCACTTCAGCCCAGGAAGCAGGGTGAGACTCTGTCTCAAAAAAAAAAAAAAAAGAAAGAAAGAAAGACAGAGTGATCCATTCAGCTGCCTAGAAAAGGAGACATTTTGGACAGCCTACCAGGTAGAGGAAGCAGTATTTATGTTACGGTGAGGGAGAAGAGTGTTCTAACGTGGGCCAGCCTATGCAGATGTTTAGGGGCAAAAGAGCCTGGCGCATTCTGGGTATTAGAAGTAGTTTTGCCGGGCGCGGTGGCTCAAGCCTGTAATCCCAGCACTTTGGGAGGCCGAGGCGGGTGGATCACAAGGTCAAGAGATCGAGACCATCCTGGTCAACATGGTGAAACTCCGTCTCTACTAAAAATACAAAAAAAAATCAGCTGGGCATGGTGGCACGTGCCTGTAATCCCAGCTACTCAGGAGGCTGAGGCAGGAGAATTGCCTGAACCCAGGAGGCGGAGGTTGCGGTGAGCCGGGATCGTGCCATTGCACTCCAGCCTGGGTAACAAGAGCGAAACTCCGTCTCAAAAAAAAAAAAAAAAAAAAACAAAAAACAAAAAAAAAGAAGTAGTTTTGTGGGCCGGAGGCCTAGAGGTCTATAAATCATGGAGAAGCTTCCCGTGAGCTGTGTACTGTTGGCTCATGGCTGTGAGGCATTGGGCTTGGTCTTGAGGGTGTTGGGGAGCCAGAGTACTTGCCTGTCCTGGCTGCCTCCCGTGTGGAATATCCTCCCAACTGTGCAGGGTAAATGCGAATGGATGAGTGGGGTGCCGGAGAGTAGAGAGGCCCAGAGTCCAGTGGAATGAGTGAAGTCCGAGTGAGAGTCATGGGATGGAGTATGAAGAGGAGAACCAGAAATGTCACCACCAGGAGAATTTTTGGCTAATTACTTAAAAAGCAGCCTTGACCACTCACTGTCCCTGCTGCCACCCAACCTACACACATTTTCTTCTTTCCTAGCCTGTAGCCTGGTATCTAATTTACCCAGTGACTTCTATTTCGGCTCAGCAATTTTTTTTTTTTTTTTTTTTTTTTTTTTTTTTTTTTTTTTGAGACAGAGTCTGTCACTCAGGCTGGAGTGCAGTGGCATGATCTCTGCTCACTGCAACTTTTGCCTCCCTGGTTAAAGCAATTCTGCCTCAGCCTTCTGAGTAGCGGGGATTGAAGGTGCCCTCCACCACACCTGGCTAATTTTTTTTGTTTTATATTTTTAGTTGAGACAGGGTTTCACCATGTTGGCCAGGCTGGTCTTGAACTCCTGACCTCAAGTGATCGGCCTCCCAAAGTGCCGGAATTACAGGTGTGAGCCACCACACCTGGCCAGGATTTTTTTTTTGGAGGTGGGGGTCAAAGACAGGGTCTCACTGTCATTAAGGCTGGAGTGTAGTGGTGCGATCATGGCTCACTGCAACTGCTGCCTCCCAGGCTAGAGTGATCCTTCCACTTCAGCCTCCCAAGTAGCTGTCTCCACAAGACATGCGCAACCATGCCTGGCTAATTTTTGTATTTTTTGTAGAGATGGGGTTTCGCCATATTGTCCAGGATGGTCTTGAACTCCTGAGTGCAAAGTATCTGCCTGTCTCAGCCTCCCAAAGTGCTGGGATTACAGGTGTGAATCACCATGCTTGGCCATCTCAGCCATCTTTGCATAAGACATTGCTACCCTTTGCAGACCTGGGTGGTGAGAGGGAGACCATCATTGTTGAGCTGAAACCCACTTGGTGTTAAGTGAGACCCTTTGCTGGTGAGGTGTGGGCAGTACTGGGTTCAGATGGAGTATGTAGACTGGGTTCTGCCATGCCCTTCCTTGTGCCCTCTAGATACTCGCCCTGCGCCGGTGAGGCATTTTCTGAGAACCTGTTTCCATTTGAGTAAAGTTGGGACAGTCATAGTTGCTACCTCATGGGGTTGTTGTGAGGAAGTGAAGTTGTCTCTATAAAGTTGTCTCTATAAAGCATTTGATGGAGATGTGGTGACTCACGCCTGTAATCCCAGCAGTTTGGGAAGCCAAGGCAGGAGGAGGATCACTGGAGCCCAGGAGTTCGAGATCAACCTGGGCGTCATAGGAGACTGTGTCTACAAAAAATAAAAAAATTAGCCATGCGTGGTGTTGCGTACCTGTAGTCCCAACTCCTTTGGAGGCTGAGGTGGAGAGATTGCTTGAGCCTGGGAGGTCAAGCCTGCAGTAAGCTATCATCATGCCACAGAACTCCAGCCTGGGCAATAGAATGATACCCTGTCTTTTTAAAACAAAAACAAAAACAAAAAAACACTTGATGGTATCTTTTTTTTTTTGGAGACGGAGTTTCGCTCTTGTTACCCAGGCTGGAGTGCAATGGCGTGATCTCGGCTCACCGCAACCTCCGCCTCCTGGGTTCAGGCAATTCTCCTGCCTCAGCCTCCTGAGTAGCTGGGATTACAGGCATGCGCCACCATGCCCAGCTAATTTTTTGTATTTTTAGTAGAGACGGGGTTTCACCATGTTGACCAGGATGGTCTCGATCTCTCGACCTCGTGATCCACCCGCCTCGGCCTCCCAAAGTGCTGGGATTACAGGGTTGAGCCACCGTGCCCGGCCCACTTGATGGTATCTTAAGTCAAATGTTTGTAGCTACCCAAGTTGATGTCTCGTGACAGAAGGCGGGAAATAGCCACGAAAGAACAGGAAGTAGAGTAAGAGTGACATGGGAAGACATTTAGAAATGTGGTCAGAGGTGGCAACATTTCCTCTGAGTCCTGAATGACTAGAAGGAGGCTGCCATGTAAACCTCAGGGGAGGGATGTTCAGGTAAAGGGAGCAGCCAGTGCAAAGGCCCTGGGGCAGACTGGTGTCTCAGGCCTGGGGGCCAGGGTGGTTGGGGAGCGAGGTGGAATGTGGGCAGGGATGATGCGGTGGGGGAAGTTTGCCAGGGTCATGTCATGCAGGCCTGTGTCAGGGTGCTGGTGGCAATGAAAAGAATCACTCATATCTGTTGAGCATTTGCTATGTACCAGACGCTGTTCTGAGTACTTTGCATGTATGTCCACATGTTCGTTACCTAGCAGCTCTCTGGGGTAGGTACTATTACTGTCCGCATCTTACAGAAGTGTATACTTGGCCACTTGAGTGCTTCCGGGCTGCTTCTATGATCGTTAGGTCTTCAGAGATTGTGGACTCGAGGCATTCTGGGTACCCCGTGAACTGGCTGATGGTCTTCCATCTTGGCTGCGCTTCTGAAAGAGGGAGCTCAAAGGTCTTCTCTTTCACCACTGCAGAGCTGAAGAAGTCCCTGTACGCCATCTTCTCCCAGTTTGGCCAGATCCTGGATATCCTGGTATCACGGAGCCTGAAGATGAGGGGCCAGGCCTTTGTCATCTTCAAGGAGGTCAGCAGCGCCACCAACGCCCTTCGCTCCATGCAGGGTTTCCCCTTCTATGACAAGCCCATGGTGAGTATTGTGGGTATGGAGGCTGGGTGTGGGTGTGGGTGTGGGTGTGGGTGTGTGAAATGTTATAGGGAGACTGGGTGGGCCTGGAGGAGACGGGGGGATATGGGGGTTAATTTGCCAAGGTGAGGCTGGACTGAGCTCCACTGCACCTTGCCTCACTTCAAAAACAATTTTTTTTTTTTTCGCTGGGCACCGTGTCTCATGCCTGTAATCCCATCACCTTTTTTTTTTGAGATGTTTTGCTATTGTTGCCCAGGCTGGAGTGCAATGGCGTGATCTCAGCTCACTGCAACCTCTACTTCCGAAGTTCAAATGATTCTCCTGTCTCAGCCTTCCAAGTAGCTGGGATTACAGGTGTGTGCCATCACACCTGGCTAAATTTTTTTTTTTTTAATTTTTAGTAGAGACAGGGTTTCTCCATGTTAGTCAGGCTGGTCTTGAACTCCTGACCTCAGGTGATCCGCCTGCACCTCATCCTTCCAAAGTGTTACAGTTGTGAGCCACCATGCCTGGCTTTTTTGTTGTTGTTGTTTTGAGACAGAGTCTTACTTTGTTGTCCAGGCTGGAGTGCAGTGGTGTGATCTCGGCTCACTGCAACCTTCGCCTTCCGGGTTCAAGTTATTCTCCTACTTCAGTCTCTTGAGTAGCTGGGAATACAGGTGTACACCACCATGCCCAGCTAATTTTTGTATTTTGGATGGAAAGGGGATTTTGCCATGTTGGTCAAAGTGGTCTCAACCTCCTGACCCCTGATAAAGTCCGATTTTGAATCTTAGCAATTGGGCTCTGAATCCATGCCCCTAACCCATTCTGCTCTCTGTTTGGTAGCGTATCCAGTATGCCAAGACCGACTCAGATATCATTGCCAAGATGAAAGGCACCTTTGTGGAGCGGGATCGAAAGCGGGAGAAGAGAAAGCCCAAGAGCCAGGAGACCCCAGCTGCCAAGAAGGCTGTGCAGGGCGGGGCAGCTGCCCCCGTGGTGGGAGCCGTGCAGGGGCCTGTCCCGGTAAGCCAGGGCCAGTAGACCAACCCTCCCACTGACAGGTTTTCCTTAGCCACATGGACTGGCTTTGGGACAGGGTGGGGAGAGTTCTCTCCTTGGGGCTTCAGACCCCTCCTTTCCATTTCCTTATAGAGATTATGTGTCTGTCTGTCTTTGGGGAGTGTTGAGTACCTAGATGATGCTATCTCCACTCAAAACGCCTATTCCCTGTCCATGTGACTATTTCTCAAGGTCTTTCTTCATGGCTATGGCTTGGTATTGCTGTCTCCTTGACCTTTATTTTGTTGCCTGTGTCTTTTTTTTTTTTTTGAGATGGAGTCTCACTCTGTCGCCCAGGCTGGAGTGCAGTGGCGTGATCTCGGCTCACTGCAACCTCCACCTCTCAGATTCAAGCAGTTCTCCTGCCTCAGGCTCCCGAGTAGCTGGGACTACAGGCATGTGCCACCACGCCTGACTAATTTTTTTATTTTTATTTTTTTGAGACAGAGTTTCGCTCTTGTTACCCAGGCTGGAGTGCAATGGCACGATCTCAGCTCACCGCAACCTCCGCCTCCTGGATTCAGGCAATTCTCCTGCCTCAGCCTCCTGAGTAGCTGGGATTACAGGCACGTGCCACCATGCCCAGCTAATTTTTTGTATTTTTAGTAGAGACGGGGTTTCACTATGTTGACCGGAATGGTCTCGATCTCTTGACCTCGTGATCCACCGGCCTCGGCCTCCCAAAGTGCTGGGATTACAGGCCTGAGCCACCGCGCCCGGCCTAATTTTTGTATTTTTAGTAGAGATGGGGTTTAACCATGTTGGCTAGGCTGGTCTTGAACTCCTGACTTCTTCTTCTTTTTTTTTTTTTTTTTTTTTTTTTTGAGACGGAGTTTCACTCTTGTTACCCAGGCTGGAGTGCAATGGCGCGACCTCGGCTCACCGCAACCTCCGCCTCCTGGGTTCAGGCAATTCTCCTGCCTCAGCCTCCTGAGTAGCTGGGATTACAGGCACGCGCCACCATGTCCAGCTAATTTTTTGTATTTTTAGTAGAGACGGGGTTTCGCCAAGTTGACCAGGATGGTCTCGATCTCTTGACCTTGTGATCCACCCACCTCGGCCTCCCAAAGTGCTGGGATTACAGGCTTGAGCCTCCGCGCCCGGCCTGTTTGTTTGTTTTTAAGTAGAGATGGGGTTTCAGCACGTTTGCCAGGCTGGTCGTGAACTCCTGGCCTCAAGTGATCTTCCCACCTCAGCCTCCCAAAGTGCTGGGATTACAGGCTTGAGCCACTGCACCTGGCCCTTCACACAATGAAGTTTCTAGAAGAAAACAGGAAAATGTCTTCATGACCTTGGTGAGGGCATGAAAAGTGGAAACATCCTGTTTTCCAAACAGGATATGAAGAACACTAAGTACAAAAGAAAAGATGGGCCGGGTGCAGTGGTGCGTGCCTGCAGTCCCAGCTACTCGGGAGGATCGCTTGAGCCCAGGATTTCTGGGCTGTCGTGCGCTATGCCTATCGGGTGTCCACACTAAGTTCAGCATCAATATGCTGACCTCCCGGGAGCAGGGGACCACCAGGTTGCCTAGGGAGGGGTGAACCAGCCCAGGTCGGAAACGGAGCAGGTCAAAACTCCCGTGCTGATCAGTAGTGTGATCGCACCTGTTAATAGCCACTGCATTCCAGCCTGGGCAACATAGTGAGACCCCCGTCTCTCTCTCTCTCTTTTTTTTTTTTTTTAAATGAAGATGGGGTTTCACCCCGATGGCCAGGCTGGTCTTAAACTCCCGACCTCAGGTGATCCACCCACCTCGGCCTCCCAAAGTGCTAGGATTAAGGCGTGAGCCACTGCTCCCGGCTGAGACCCCGTCTCTTTAAAAAAAAAAATAATAAATTAATAAATAAAAAGAAAAGGAGGATAAGGCCAGGTGCGATGGCTCGCACTTGTAATCCCGGCACTTTGGGAGGACAAGGCGGGTGGATCATGAGGTCAGGAGTTCGAGACCAGCCTGGCCAACACAGTGAAACCCCATCTCTACTAAAAATACAAAAATTCGCCGGGCGCGGTGGCTCAAGCCTGTAATCCCAGCACTTTGGGAGGCCGAGGCGGGTGGATCACAAGGTCGAGAGATCGAGACCAACCTGGTCAACATGGTGAAACCCCGTCTCTACTAAAAATACTAAAAATTAGCTGGGCATGGTGGCACGTGCCTGTAATCCCAGCTACTCAGGAGGCTGAGGCAGGAGAATTGCCTGAACCCAGGAGGCGGAGGTTGCGGTGAGCCGAGATCGCGCCATTGCACTCCAGCCTGGGCAGCAAGAGCGAAACTCCGTCTCAAAAAAAAAAAAAAAAAAAAAAAAAAAAATACAAAAATTCACTGGGCATGATGGCAAGCACCTGTAATTCCAGCTACTGGGGAGGTTGAAGCAGGAGAATCGCTTGAACCCAGGAGGTGGAAGTTGCACGAGCCGAGATCACACCACTGCACTCCAGCCTGGGCCACAGAGCAAGACTCTGTCTCAAAAAAACAAAAAGAAAAGAAAAGAAAAGATGGCCGAACTGGACCCACTTCTTGGGTCTCTGAGCCTCTGTTTCTCTCTGGCTTTTGTCTGTGGCTCTGGCTCTTTCTCCAAGTCGCCTGTGGTGTCCAGATTACTGTGGGCTCCTGTTGTTAACCTCTCTTGTCTTCACTGCACCCAGCTTTCTGTCCACTTTCGACTTCTGACTGTGACTCCAGCCCCTGTCTGTGCTGCCTGCCATCTGCTCTCTTCCCTCTTCCCCTTGCTGCCATGCGTTTCGTTCTGCACCTGCCCTGAGTGTCCCTTGCCATCTCTGCCCTCATTTGCTTTTGTTTTTATTTTTTGGGACAGAGTCTTACTCTGTCGCCCAGGCTGGAGGGCAGTGGTGCAGTCTCAGCTCACTGCAACTTCCAGGTTTAAGCAGTTCTCCTGCCTCAGCCTCTCTAGTAGCTGGGATTACAGGCGCCCACCACCACACCCAGCTAATATTTGTATTTTTAGTAGGGAAGGGGTTGCACCGTGCTGCCCAGGCTGATCTCAAACTGCTGGGATCATAAGCATGGGCCACCGTGCCCGGCCTACCACACGTTTCTTTCTGCTCCTTCCGACTGTCCCTTTCCATCTCTGCCCTCCTTTGATTTGGGTCTTTTTTGTTGTTGGTGGTGTTTGTTCTGTTTTGCTTTCGAGACAGAATCTCACTCTGTCACCCAGGCAGGAGTGCAATGGCACAGCCTCTGCTCACCGCAACCTCCGCCTCCCAGGTTCAAGCGATTCCCCTGCCTCATCCTCCTGAGTAGCTGGGACTACAGGTGCACACCACCATGCTCAGCTAATTTTTTGTATTTTAGTAGAGACAGGGTTTCACCATGTTGGCCAGAATGGTCTCTATCTTCTGACCATGTGATCCCCATGTCTTGGTCTCCCAAAATGTTGGGATTACAGGCGTGAGCCACTGGGCCCGGCCTGCTTTTGTTTTTTAAGAGATAGGGTCTCGCTCTGTTTCCCAGGCTGGATGGAGTGCTGTGGCACAATTGTGGCTCACTGCACGCGGTCTTGACCTCCCGGGTTCAAGTGATCCTCCCACCTCAGCCTCCTAAATAGCTGGGACTATAGGGGTATGCCACTGCACCTGGGGAGTTTTTAAGTTAGCTCTTTCTGATTTAATGTGCCACCCGACCCTGGGTTGGTTTTGCTCTGTCTGGCCCTCTCTGGGTGCCTTTTTTGCCTCTGGGTGTTTTTCTTTGCATTGCTTACCCACTGGGTTTCCTCTCCTCTGCCTCGTGGGGAGGCCGTAACCACGAGCTCTCCTTCCTCTCCCCACAGGGCATGCCCCCAATGACTCAGGCACCGCGCATCATGCACCACATGCCGGGCCAGCCGCCCTACATGCCGCCCCCTGGCATGATCCCCCCACCAGGCCTCGCACCTGGCCAGATCCCACCAGGGGCCATGCCCCCACAGCAGCTCATGCCGGGACAGATGCCCCCTGCGCAGCCTGTGAGTATCTAGTCCCGCCCCTACCCCAGCAGGTCTCATGTAAATAGAATACAAGACTAGAAAGGGACCAGCTGGGGGGCAGTTGTAGGTTGAGTGGTCTGGGCAGGCCCCCCTCCGAGGGGGTGGTACTGAATAATGAGGATGCAGCAGTGGGAGTGGGCCCTGGGCAGAGAGGAATTGGCATGCTGGTTGGAGGGTCCAGAAGGTTAGGGCAGGCTGGAGCCGTGCCAGCACCTAGGTTCATTCTGTGAGCTGTCGAGCGCCTGCTTATGCGCCAGGGCCTGGGCTGCACCGTAGCGACGCAGCAGGGACTGAGACAGAAACCTCTGCTGTCCTATGGCCTGCAGTCTGTAGGGGGAAAGGGGTGGGGGGCAGACGGGCAAGAGCATGTGGTGCATTGGGTGGAAGTATCAGAATGAATCCATGCAGTGTGAGCGATGGAGGAAGGGGCAGTACTGGGGTCCCCACTAGGCTTAGGGCTCCTGTGTTCACTGGCTCCCCTACACCCCCACAGCTCTCCGAGAATCCACCGAATCACATCTTGTTCCTCACCAACCTGCCAGAGGAGACCAATGAGCTCATGCTGTCCATGCTTTTCAATCAGTAAGTGGGGCCTGTGGCTGGGTGGTCCCTGGAGGCCGATGGGCAGGAGGCATCTCTGTGGGAACAGACCTCAGACTTCTGCCAGCAGAGCCCTAAGCCAAGTACGGCTTTGCAGGAGGGACAGTGACCAAAGATGTGAAAGGAGGAGGCTGTGGCTGGGCCCATGGCCTTTGGGAACACGGTGATGAGGCTGGAAAGGTCACCATGGCCAGAGGTTGTGGACTTTTTCAGCCTTAATTGAGGGCTGAGGGAGTCCAGGCTCTGGGCCTCATTTTCCCAGCCCCTAAAATGGAGCCATGCAAGGCAAGGTACATGTAACACTACATCAAGACGTCTTTGAGCACCAGCTATAAGACTGGCAGAAGTCAGCATGTTCAAAAACAGCAAGTGTGGGAGATGGGGCCGCGTGGACTCTTGTGCCTGGTATCAGGGTGGAGACCAGCATGGCCGATGTGTAGAGGGGCCGTTCACCATTGAGTGAAGCTGTGGATGCAAGTGAGTTCGTCTGGTGGTTCTGCTTCAGGGGCTGTGAATGGGGCATTCATCACAGTATTTGGTAGGGGTTGGAGGCTGTCTATAAGAAGAGATGGGCCTCAGCTGGGCGCGGTGGCTCACGCCTGTAATCCCAGCACTTTGGGAGGCTGAGGCGGGTGGATCACGAGGTCAAGAGATCGAGACCATCCTGGTCACCATGGTGAAACCCCGTCTCTACTAAAAATACAAAAAATTAGCTGGGCATGGTGGCGCATGCCTGTAGTCTCAGCTACTCGGGAGGCTGAGGCAGGAGAATTGCCTGAACCCAGGAGGTGGAGGTTGCGGTGAGCCGAGATCGCGCCATTGCACTCCAGCCTGGGTAACAAGAGCGAAACTCGGTCTCAAAAAAATAAATAAATAAATTAAATAAAGAAGAGATGGGCCTCATGCAGACGCTCACCAGGCTGCACTGTGTGACACTTAGAAGAACAGAAAGCACAACTTTTTTGTTGTTTTTGAGATAGAGTCTTGGCCGGGCGCGGTGGCTCAAGCCTGTAATCTCAGCACTTTGGGAGGCCAAGGCGGGTGGATCACGAGGTCAAGAGATCAAGACCATCCTGGTCAACATGGTGAAACCCCGTCTCTACTAAAAATACAAAAAATTAGCTGGGCGTGGTGGCGCGTGCCTGTAATCCCAGCTACTCAGGAGGCTGAGGCAGGAGAATTGCCTGAACCCAGGAGGCGGAGGTTGCGGTGAGCCGAGATCGCGCCATTGCACTCCAGCCTGGGTAACAAGGGCAAAACTGCGTCTCAAAAAAAAAAGAGAGAGTCTCAGTCTGTCACCCAGGCTGTAGGGCAGTGGTGCGATCTCCGCTCACTGCAACCTCTGCCTCCCGGTATCAAGCAATTCTGCCTCCGCGTCCCGAGTAGCTGGGACTGCAGGTGCCCCCCACCACGCCCTGCTAATTTTTGTATTTTCAGTGGAGACGGGGTTTCACCATATTGGCCAGACTGGTCTCAAACTTCCGACCTTGTGATCTGCCCGCCTAGGACTCCCAAAGTGCTGGGATTACAGGCATGAGCCACTGCGCCTGGCAAGAAAGCGCAACTTTATAATAGTGCTGAGAGGAGATTGTGAGAGCCCGAAAGAAACAGAAAAGCAATACCACACGTGCATGCAGCATACCCACAAAGCTGTATATTTTGTAGGAATGCTGATGGAAAATAGGATATCCAGTAAACATGAGGATGGTTGCTTAATGGAGACAGAAGTATGGGATGAGAAGGGGGAAATTAGAGAAACAGTGTATCAGAAAAGTGAGAGTAAGGCCAGGCGCAGTGGCTCATGCCTGTATTCCTGGTGTCTTAGGAGGCTGAGACAGGCAGATCACTTGAGGTCAGGAGTTTGAGACCAGCATGGCCAACATGGTGAAACCCCATCTCTACTAAGAATACAAAACAAACAGAACTGAACTAAGGGAGGGTACCAATTATTGTGGGTGTGGCGGGGTAGGGGGTATGATTTAGGAAGGGCTTGGGCGTCTGCAGTGTACTATTTGCAGATGCATGGGTGTTTGTATTAAAATTTTTCATTAAATGCTATGTTTACATTAGAGTTTTTCAGTTAAGTGCTACCTATATTTTGGGCTGGATAATTGGTATTAATGGGGCACTGTCCTGTGCATTGGAGGCTATTTGGCATCATTTTTTGACTTGTGTCCACTCGATGCCAGCATGTTAGGGGGAAATGCTGAGTTCCTAAGGTCTGTCGTTCTCTTCCAGATTCCCTGGCTTCAAGGAGGTCCGTCTGGTCCCCGGGCGGCATGACATCGCCTTTGTGGAGTTCGACAATGAGGTACAGGCAGGGGCAGCTCGCGATGCCCTGCAGGGCTTTAAGATCACCCAGAACAACGCCATGAAGATCTCCTTTGCCAAGAAGTAGCACCTTTTCCCCCAGTGCCTGCCCCTTTCCCTATTCTGGGGCTACCCCTTTTCCCCCTTGGCTCAGCCCCCTGAAGGTAAGTCCCCCTTGGGGGCCTCCTTGGAGCCGTGTGTGAGTGAGTAGTCAACACACAGCATTGTACCCAGAGTCTGTCCCCAGACATTGCACCTGGCGCTGTTAGGCCGGAATTAAAGTGGTTCTTTGAGGTTTGGTTTTTCACAATCATTTGTCTGATTTTCTTGCTCTCCTTGATTCCTTTCCCTCCACCTTACCAGCACATCCTGGGTTTTTTGACCTCTTGGCATTTTGAGGTTTGCAACCCTGGGGAAACACAGAATAGTGTAGTAATATTGTTCAAACTTAGGTTACAGTTACTGCTTTGGCAGTTTTGGATATTGTCCCAATTCACAGCAGGAAATGGAATCCTAGGTCGGGAAATGCAAAGTCAGGGCTGCCTTGTACAGTTAGGCAGGTTGGGTACTGCACAAGAATGCCACCCGTTTTCTGACACATGACAAGTGTGTTCAGGAAGAGGCGTTCCTTCACCTTTTTATACTCACAAAAGTGCAGTCTGGGCTGGGCACGGTGGCTCACACCTGTAATCCCAGCACTTTGGGAAGCCAAGGCGGGCGGATCACGAGGTCAGGAGATCAAGACTATCCTGGCACTGGGTGCGGTGGCTCACGCCTGTAATTCCAGCACTTTGGGAGGCTGAGGCAGGCAGATCACGTGAGGTTGGGAGTTCCAGACCAGCCTAACCAACATGGAGAAACCACGTCTCTACTAAAAAAAAAAAAGGGCCCGGCGCAGTGGCTCAAGCCTGTAATCCCAGCACTTTGGGAGGCCGAGGCGGGTGGATCACGAGGTCAAGAGATCGAGACCAACCTGGTCAACATGGTGAAACCCCGTCTCTACTAAAAAAAATACAAAAAATCAGCTGGGCACGGTGGCGCGTGCCTGTAGTCCCAGCTACTCAGGAGGCTGAGGCAGGAGAATAGCCTGAACCCGGGAGGCGGAGGTTGCGGTGAGCAGAGATCAGGCCATTGTACTCCAGCCTGGGTAACAAGAGCGAAACTCCGTCTCAAAAAAAAAAAAGCAAAATTAGCCAGATGTGGTGGCGCATGTCTGTAATCCCAGCTACTCGTTGGCAGCAGGGAGGTGGGCTGAGGCAGGAGAATCGCTTGAACCTGGGAGGCAGAGGTTGTGGTGAGCCGAGATTGTGCCGTTGCACTCCAGCCTGGGTGACGAGTGAAACTCTGCCCAAAAAACTATTCTGGCTAATATGGTGAAACCCTGTCTCTACTAAAAATACAAAAAGTTAGCCAGGACTGGTGGCACATGCCTGTACTCCCAGCTACTCAGGAAGCTGAGGCAGGAGAATCACTTGAACCCAGGAAGCTGAGGTTGCAGTGAGCCGAGATTGCACCACTGCACTCCAGCCTGGGCAACAGGAGAGAGACTCCCATCTCAAGAAAAATAAAAAACCTGGACTTGCCAGTCCAGAAGTGAGGGTCTTTGGGAGCAAAGCGGACCCTCTGGAGAAGGATGCTCAGCTTGTGGATCTCTGAGGCAGTTTGGAGGTGAAAAATGACTTCAGATTCTCCGTTTTTTCTTCATTCTGACCTTGGGCAAGTGACCGAACTCCTCCGAGACTTACTCTTCTCCTTGGCAACGTGGGATTTGGAAGCTGAGGGGGCAACATTGCATAAGGTGGTCAGCAAAGTCCAGAACTGAAATCCTGGGGAGCCCCAAGTGATCTGGAGGAGCCTGGCTTGTGAAGATCTGGAGGAAGTGCAGAGGTCCTGGGGTGAGAGTGAGCTCAGTATTTGAGCACTAGGAAGTAGGGAAAACTCCAGGGGCTGCCATTTGCATTATGTTCAATAAAACATGGCTGGGGCCGGGCACGGTGGCTCAAGCCTGTAATCCCAGCACTTTGGGAGGCTGAGGCGGGTGGATCACGAGGTCAAGAGATCGAGACCATCCTGGTCAACATGGTGAAACCCCGTCTCTACTAAAAATATAAAACATGGCCGGGCGCGGTGGCTCAAGCCTGTAATCCCAGCTACCCAGGAGGCTGAGGCAGGAGAATTGCCTGAACCCAGGAGGCGGAGGTTGCGGTGAGCCGAGATTGCGCCATTGCACTCCAGCCTGGGTAACAAGAGCGAAACTCCATGGGGGGGGGGGGAACAACATGGCTGGGTGTGGTGGCTCACACCTGTAATCCCAAAGCTTTGGGAGGCTGAGGTGGGTGGATCACTTGAGGTCAGGAGTTTGAGACCAGCCTGGCCAACATGGTGAAACTCTGTTGCTACTAAAAATACAAAAGGTATCCGGGTGTGGTGGCTCATGCCTGTTGTCCCAGCTACTCTGGAGGCTGAGGTAGGAAAGTTACTTGAACTTGGGAGGTAGAGGTTGCAGCGAGCTGAGATTGTGCCACTGTACTCTAGCCTTCCATCCTGGGTGACATGGGTGACGAGAGACTCCATCTCAAAAAAGAAAAAAAGGAATTGTATTTCTTAGTGGCCCTGTTACTGTGGCTGCAATATGGAGGGAGAGTACAAAGGGTGGATACAAAGACTGGCCCCTGTCTTGCTGTTGGGAAAGTCAGTTGCCATGTTGTGAGCCGTCTGGAGAGGTCCACATGTAAAGAAAAATGACAGAGACCTTCAGTCCAGTTTCCACAAACAACTGAATCTCCCCAGCAGCTGCCTGAATGAGCCTGGAAGCAGTCCTCCCATAGTTCAGCCTTCAGATGAAACTGCAGCGCTGGCTGACAGGCTGACTGCAGCCTTAAAGCAGACCTTGAGCCTGAGGCATCCAACCCACAGAAAAGGTGGTAATTTTGGTCTTTTTTTTTTTTTGGAGACAGAGTTTTGCTCTTGTTACCCAGGCTGGAGTGCAATGGCGCAATCTCGGCTCACCGCAACCTCCACCTCCTGGATTCAGGCAATTCTCCTACCTCAGCCTCCTGAGTAGCTGGGATTACAGGCACGCACCACCATGCCCAGCTGATTTTTTTGTATTTTTAGTAGAGACGGGGTTTCACCATGTTGACCAGGATGGTCTTGATCTCTTGACCTCGTGATCCACCCGCCTCGGCCTCCCAAAGTGCTGGGATGACAGGCATGAGCCACCGTGCCCGGCTAAAACATTCTTTAAAAAAATTATTCCTGGGCCGGGCGTGGTGGTTCACACCTGTAATCCCAGCACTTTGGGAGGCCGAGGTGGGTGGATCACGAGGTCAAGAGATCGAGACCATCCCGGTCAACATGGTGAAACCCCTGTCTCTACTCAAAATACAAAAAATTAGCTGGGCATGGTGGCGCGTGCCTGTAATCCCAGCTACTCGGGAGGCTGAGGCAGGAGAATTGCCTCAACCCAGGAGGCGGAAGTTGTGGTGAGCCGAGAGCGTGCCATTGCGCACCAGCCTGGGTAACAAGAGCGAAACTCCGTCTCAAAAAAAGAAAAAGAATGTTTTAAAGTGGAAAAGTTCAAACATACATAATAATAATTAAAAGACAGTAGTTTCCTGAACTTTCCTATTCCCTTCCACCAGCTTCACGTACCAACTTGGGGCCATCTGAATTTCAAGCAGGCCTCCACTCTCCTTTTCAAATTATTTTGAGAAGACATCCTATTAGCTCACTCAATCAGTATTTAAGTACAGATAGCCTTCAACTCACTGTGGTTCAGTTTACAGTTTTTCGACTTCATAGTGGGCTTATCCAGGTATTAAATGCATTTCAGGGCTGTGCGCAGTGGCTCATGCCCGTAAGCCCAGCACTTTGGGAAGCCAAGGTGGATGGGTCACTTGAGGTCAGGAGTTCGAGACCAGTCTGACCAACATCGTGAAACCCCATCTCTACTAAAAATACAAGGTTAGCTGGTGCACACCTGTAATGCCAGCTACTTGAGAGGCTGAGGCAGAAGAATCACTTGAACTCAGGAGGCAGAGGTTGCAGTGAGCAAAGATCACACCATTGCACACCAACCTGGGCAACAAGAGTGAAACAACATCTCAAAAAAAAAAATTGCATTTTGAAGCCAGGTGCAGTGGCTCACACTTTAAGTTGCAGCTACTTAGAAGGCTGTGGTGGGAGGATAGGTTGAGCCCAGTGGGTCAAGGCAGAGTGAGATGTGAATGCGGCACTGCACTTCAGCCTGGGGGACAGACACAGAGTGACACCCTGTTTGTTAAAAAAAAATTCAGGCCTGGCACAATGGTTCAAGCCTATAATCCCAGCACTTTAGGAGGCTGAGGCAGGCGGGCCATGAGGTCAGGAGTTCAAGACCAACCTGGCCAATATAGTGAAATCCTGTCTCTACCAAAAAATATTTTAAAAATTAGCAAGGTGTGGTGGCGTGCCACTGTGGTCCCAGCTACTTAGGAAGCTGAGGTGGGAGAATTGCTGGAACCTGGGGAGGTGGAGGTTATAGTGAGCCTGAGTCATTCCTCGATGTGATGAGAGAGAGAAGAAAAAAAAAATTCCACTTAAATGTTTTCAGCCGGGCGCAGTGGCTCACGCCTGTAATCCCAGCACTTTGGGAGGCCGAGGCGGGTGGATCACAAGGTCAAGAGATCAAGACCATCCCGGTCAACATGGTGAAACCCCGTCTCTACTAAAAATACAAAAAATTAGCTGGGCATGGTGGCGCGTGCCTGCAATCCCAGCTACTCAGGAGGCTGAGGCAGGAGAATTGCTTGAACCCAGGAGGCGGAGGTTGCGGTGAGCCGAGATCAGGCCATTGCACTCCAGCCTGTGTAACGAGAGCAAAGCTCCATCTCAAAAAAAAAAAAAAAAAAAAAAAAAAAAGGATAGGTGGCTTGTGCCTCTAGTTCCAGTTACTCAGGAGGCTGAGGTGGGAGGATTGCCTGAGTCTAGGAGGTTGAGGCTGCAGTGAGCTGTGATGGCATCATTGCACTCCACCTGGGCAACAGAGTGAGACCCTGTCTCAAAAAAAAAAAAGTGGGGGAGGGTTGTTATAATTACTCCTCCTGACATGATACAGAGTATCCATTTGAGTTCATAACATAAATACATACTTAGTGAATGCTCCATAACTATTGGCTTTTATTATCATTTTGAGAACGAGTCTTGCTTCATAACCCAGGCTGGAGTGCAGTGGTATGATCTCGGCTCACTGCAACCTCTGCCTCTGGGTTCAAGCGATTCTCCTGCCTCAGCCTCCCGAGTAGCTGGGACTACAGGAATGTGCCACCACATCCCGATAGTTTTTGTTTTTAGAAACAGGAGAATAGCCGGGCGCGGTGGCTCAAGCCTGTAATCCCAGCACTTTGGGAGGCCGAGGCGGGTGGATCACGAGGTCAAGAGATCGAGACCATCCTGGTCAACATGGTGAAACCCCGTCTCTACTAAAAATACAAAAAAAAAAATTAGCTGGGCATGGTGGCGTGTGCCTGTAATCCCAGCTACTCAGGAGGCTGAGGCAGGAGAATCGCCTGAACCCAGGAGGCGGAGGTTGCGGTGAGCCGAGATCGCGCCATTGCACTCCAGCCTGGGTAACAAGAGCGAAACTCCGTCTCAAAAAAAAAAAAAAGAAAAAGAAACAGGAGAATATTTAATCCATCTGAAAATACACATCAGGAAATGAAGGGAACCATAGGAAAATCCTCCGCCTCTAACAGAGAGAGCGAGGTTACTGGCTTCCTGCTTGCTCCTATAATCCCGAGGCTTGATGTTTGGAAGAAATTATCTGTCCTTCAGCTACTCCCAGATACTCAGAGGTAAGTTACACACATCTGGAGGAGGACGTCTGCCCTGCTGAAGCTAGAAGGGAGCTCAATGCATGAGAGAGAATCAATCTAGAAAAAAAATGATCAAAGAACAGCTGGGTGACAGTGTGGGGCCATCTCAGGCAGGTGGGCTCCTGATGCTCTGGTTTAGCCAGAACCCATACAAGCTGGGCTGGTTCAGGGAGCCCACCAGCCAGCCTATGTTCAGCTACAGCTTCTGTATTCTTATTTATCATCATCAGCCTAGTTTTTGTATTTTTTTTTTTTTGAGACGGAGTTTCGCTCTTGTTACCCAGGCTGGAGTGCAATGGCGCGATCTCGGCTCACCGCAACCTCCGCCTCCTGGGCTCAGGCAATTCTCCTGCCTCAGCCTCCTGAGTAGCTGGGATTACAGGCACGCACTACCATGCCCAGCTAATTTTTTGTATTTTTAGTAGAGACGGGGTTTCACCATGTTGACCAGGATGGTCTCGATCTCTTGACCTTGTGATCCACCCGCCTCGGCCTCCCAAAGTGCTGGGATTACAGGCTTGAGCCACCGTGCCCGGCCTAGTTTTTGTATTTTTAGTAGAGACAGGGTTTCACCGTGTTGGCCAGGATGGTCTCGAACTCCTGACCACGTGATCTGCCTGCCTTGGTCTCAGTTGCAGGCGTGAGCCACTGCTCCTGGCCAGGTCTTTTATTATTGTCCCCATTTTACATACAAGGAAGCTGAGGCTCTGTGAGGAGAAATAGCTTAGCCCACGTCATCCAGTAGGAAGCGGCTGGTGCGGAGGAATAGCGACCATGGTGGGACATTGCCTAGCCCAAGGTTGAAAATACAATATTCAGTCAGGGCTGGGCTGTTTCTCGTAATCAAAGGGCTGCCTTGTTCTCCTGCCCAGCAGCACAGGAAATTCCAAGTTGGTTTTCCTTACAGGCTCCTCCGATGGAGCCCAGGTACCTAAGCCAACTCAAGAGAAGATGGAATTGAATGCCTCAACCTCCTTATCTGGGCCTCTGTGATCGCCGAGGAGGGGGCTGTTGGCTGGAAAGCTGTGAGCTGCTTTGGGCCTTATCTGGGAATTTCCTTGGGCTTGCAGCCTTTACCCTATCCTTGAAATTGTTCTGGCTGGGTAGCAACATCTAGGTGGTGTGGGTGAAATGTGGGACTGGTTAAGGGCGGGGACAAGACCAAGAACACAAGTTTCCTTGTGCGGTGGGAGAGAGGGACGGGAGGAAATTGGAGACCCAGGTACCCCCTTGCTCACTTCCTTGCTCACAGTCCACGATGGCCTGGTCCGTGGTGTTCCTTGGGGTCATCTTGCTGTCTGCCTTCCCAGGACCTGGTGTCAGTGGCGGCCCCATGCCCAAGCTGGCTGACCGGAAGCTGTGTGCGGACCAGGAGTGCAGCCGTGAGTGTGGGGAGGGGAGAATTGGGGACTCAGGGTCTCAGCCTATGTGGAAGGTACTGCATTCCCTTCTATTCCTTCCCCAGACCCGATCTCCATGGCTGTGGCCCTTCAGGACTACGTGGCCCCTGACTGCCGATTCCTGAACATTCACCAGGGTCAAGTGGTGTATGTCTTCTCCAAGCTGAAGGGCCGTGGACGGCTCTTCTGGGGAGGCAGCGTGAGTCTTGGGAGAGTGAAACAGGGAAGGGTACAGGGCTGGGGTAAACTCATTATCCCTGTGAAGGAAAGATTTGAGGAGAGTGAACTGAAATAGACACTGTGGGAGGGTACTGTGACTGACTTTATTTTTACTTTATTTACTTATTTTTATTTCTATTTCTATTTATTTATTTAGAGACCGAGTTTCACTCTTGTTTCCCAGGCTGGAGTGCAATGGTGCAATCTCGGCTCACCACAACCTCTGCCTCCCGAGTATCTGGGATTACAGGCGTGTGCCACAAAAAAACTAAAATTTTTGTATTTTTAGTAGAGACAGGGTTTCTCCATATTGGTCAGGCTGGTCTCGAACTACTGACCTCAGGTGATCTGCCTGCCTCGGCCTCCCAAAGTGTATTACAGGTGTGAGCCACTACACCCCAGCCTATTTTCACTTTATATTATTAATTAATTAATTAATTTTTTGTTTTTTCCAAGACAGAGTCTTGCTCTGTCACCCAGGCTGTAGTGTAATGGTGCTATCTCTGTTCACTGCAACCTCCACCTCCTGGGTTCAAGTGATTCTCCTGCCTCAGCCTCCCGAGTAGCTGGGATTACAGGCACATGCCACCATACCCAGCTAATTTTTGTATTTTTGGTAGAGACAGGGTTTCACCATGTTAGCCAGGCTGGTCTGGAACTCCTCACCTTGTGATCCACCTGCCTTGGCCTCCCAGAATGCTGGGATTACAGCTGTGAGCAACTAACTTCCCTGGCCTATTTTCACTTTATTTACCAATTTTAGGGCATCTGCTATAGTGCCATGTTCTGTTCTAGACACCAAGATACAACAATGAATGATCCTTTTTATTCTAATGGAGGGAAACGAGCAAAAAGCAGGTCATAAAAAATAGCAGCAGTCATGCATGGTGGCTTACACTTGTAATCCCAACACTTTGGGAGGCCAAGGTGGCAGGATTGCTTGAGCTCAAGAGTTCGAGACCAGCCTGGGCAACATAGCAAGACCCATCTCTACAAAAAAATTTAAAAAATAAACTGGGCATTATGGCATGTGTCTGTGGTCCCAGCTACTCGGGAGGCTGAGGTGGAAGGACTGCTTGAGCCCAGAAGTTGAGGCTGCAGTGAGCTGTGATCATGCTACTGCACCCCAACCTGGGCCACAGAGTGAGACCCTGTTTCCAAAATAATAAAAACAGGCCGATCACAGTGGTTCACACCTCTAATCCCAGCACTATGAGAGGCTGAGGCGGGCGAATTACGTGAGGTCAGGAGTTCGAGACTAACCTGGCCAACATGGTGAAACCCCATTTCTACTAAAAAAAAAAAAAAAAAAAATTAGCCAGTCATAGTGGCGCACACCTGTAATCCCAGCTACTTGGGAAGACTGAGACAGGGAATTGCTTGAAGCAGGGAGGTGGAGCTTGCAGTGAGACGATATCACGCCACTGCACTCCAACCTGGGCGACAGACCGAGACTCTCTAAATAAATAAATAAATAGGCTGGGCGCGGTGGCTCAAGCCTGTAATCCGAGCACTTTGGGAGGCCGAGTCGGGTGGATCACGAGGTCAAGAGATTGAGACCATCCTGGTCAACATAATGAAACCCCGTCTCTACCTAAAATACAAAAAATTAGCTGGGCGTGGTGGCGCGTGCCTGTAATCCCAGCTACTCAGGAGGCTGAGGCAGGAGAATTGCCTGAACCCAGGAGGCGGAGGTTGTAGTGAGCCGAGATCGCGCCATTGCACTCCAGCCTGGGTAACAAGAGCGAAACTCCGCCTCAAAAAAAAAAAAAAAAAAAAGAAAGCCGGGCGCGGTGGCTCAAACCTGTAATCCCAGCACTTTGGGAGGCCGAGGCGAGTGGATCACGAGTTCAAGAGATCCAGACCATCCTGGTCAACATGGTGAAACCCCGTCTCTACTAAAAATACAAAAAATTAGCTGGGCACGGTGGTGAGTGCCTGTAGTCCCAGCTACTCGGGAGGCTGAGGCAGTAGAATTGCCTGAACCCAGGAGGCGGAGGTTGCGGTGAGCCGAGATCGCGCCATTGCACTCCAGCCTGGGTAGCAAGAGCGAAACTCCGTCTCAAAAAAAAAAAACAAACAAAAAAAAACCGGGCGCGGTGGCTCAAGCCTGTAATCCCAGCACTTTGGGAGGCCGAGGCGGGTGGATCACGAGGTCGAGAGATCGAGACCATCCTGGTCAACATGGTGAAACCCCGTCTCTACTAAAAATACAAAAAAAATTAGCTGGGCATGGTGGCACGTGCCTGTAGTCCCAGCTACTCAGGAGGCTGAGGCAGGAGAATTGCCTGAACCCAGGAGGCGGAGGTTGCGGTGAGCAGAGATCGCGCCATTGCACTCCAGCCTGGGTAACAAGAGCGAAACTCCGTCTCAAAAATAAATAAATAAATAAATAAATAAATAAGTAAAATAAAATAAAAGTAAATATGCACTGCTGTGAGAATTAACAGAGACTGACTTGGGTGATCAGGAAGGACCTCTGAACAGGTAACATTTAAGCTGAGACTCGATTTGTGTGACATTTCAGTTGAGATTCGTATGACAAGGATGGAGCCAGTTATGTGGAGATCAGGGAGAAGGGAGAATGCAAAGGCCTTCAGCAGGCACAAGCTTGCCATCTTTCCAGATCTTAGCTTTTAACTCCTCTTCCCCAGGTTCAGGGAGATTACTATGGAGATGCAGCCGCTCGCCTGGGCTATTTCCCCAGTAGCATTGTGCGAGAGGACCAGACCCTGAAACCTGCCACTGTCGATGTGAAGACAGACGTGAGTGTCATGAGGGCTGGCAAGAAATCTGGAGGGAGGACCCTTAGGTTCTGGGAATGGGCAAAGATGCTCCTACCCTTGGCTCCCTGCCAGCCTAGAGGTATGCGCTGGGACAAATATTTTCGACGCCTCAATTTTCCCACCAGTAAAATGGGCGCAGATGTGAGGTGCAAAGATTAGAGGGCTCTGGGCTAATTTGCATAGCACTTGTGTGGCCAGACCTGGGCCCTGCAGCTGCAGCCTTTGCTAAAACCACTAGATCCTTTGTGGTGTGACCGCTGGTTTTCCCTCCACTGTTTCCCCTTTCTCTTTTTCAGAAATGGGATTTCTACTGCCAGTGAGCTCAGCCTACCGCTGGCCCTGCCGTTTCCCCTCCTCGGCTTTATGCAAATACATCAGCCCAGTGCCAACGGCCTGTCTCTGTGGTCTTTGGGGTGGGGTAGAGTGGGGTGGCGACAATGCAAATGAAATGTTTCTCTAGGTTCCCGAATCTAACCAATTAACCCGCTGCATGTGGTAACATCAGTGGGTGCTAGGCAGAGTTTCACTGATGAAAACTCCTTGCAGTAGGAGCGCTCCAAAGCTTGGGTTTCAGATACAAGCAAAAGAAAACCTAAGCAGCCCAACTAGTGGATTGTAGTGTCCTCTCTAGACCAGTGGGAGGGAGCCAACCGGACCACGCGGAGGATATAAATCGCATAGCAAAGGTTTTCTTGGACTATTATCTGCAAAGGGAGGTGGGAAGTACCCTACGCGTATCTTCAGTTTTTCTTTTTGCCTTTGAGGCCAGAAATCGCTCCCGCCAGCTCAAGATCCTCTCCTCTTCCAGCCTCTTTCTGTCAATCCTGCCCGTACCCACTTCTTTGCATTTGTATTTCCTCCCCCAAGTCCGCTCCGATCCAATCCGGAGACTCGACTCTGCCCCCGGACTCCCGACCAAATCCGTTCCTCAGCTCAGGGAAGCAGCTCTGCACTCTGCACGTCCCTTCCCCGTTGCTCAACCAATCGGTGACCCCTGCCCCGCCCCTTTGGGCTTGGCCCCTCTCACGCCGCCAATCAGCGCCTTTTGTCCCGCCCCCTGCCCGCGAGTCCGCCAATCCCGCTTTTCGGAAAGCGTGGCCTGGTATCCCGCAGCCGGAGCGGGTCGTGCCGGAGGGGGGCGGAGGCGGAAGTGGCGGTGCCGGGCCCGGGGAGTAGGAAGGAGCCGGGGCTGTAGCCGGAGTGGAGCGGCTGCCAGCCGAGGAGGAGGCGCGGCCGCGGCGCCATATTGCGGCCCTCAGCGGCCGCGACCGAGTCATGGCCGAGACCTACGGTGAGGGTTGTGGGCCGAAGCCGGGGTCCTGGGTCTGGGCCCAGGGAGGATGCGGCCTGTGGGAATGGGGCGGGGCTTTGTAGATCAGGGGGCGGGGTTTCGTGTGATGGAGGCCGAGCCTAAGTGGATGCTGGGAGGGGTTTAGTCGGTCTGAGGCTGAGCGTATTCCATTTGGGTGGAGCCTGAGGTTCTGGTGCAGGGGTTAAATAGATCTGGGGCGGGATTTGAGGGAGCTGGTCCTGAGAGGTTGAGGGAGGCCCTGAGGGAAGAGGTGGGCCTTAATGTATCTGGGCGGAGCCTGAGTAAAAGGGCGGGGCCGACTGCATGAATGGCAGGAGTCAGGTTTATATGCTAGAAGGAACCCTGAATGGAAGCTCAGGACCCTGGGGCTGATCTGGCTTGAGAGAGCTCTAGAATGGGGTTGGGGATAGGCTGTCCTTGAGTTAGGGGCAGGACTTAGTCGCAAGGGGTGGGGCTTACGCTTAAGAATGAAGCCAGGGTCTGGGCAGAGGGAGGGAAGGAGAGGTCGGGTAGTGCAAAATCAGTAGGGATGTACCATAGGAGGTGGTGGTTGGAGGCGGGGGAAGCGCTGATTTAGGAGTCAGAGGGAGCCGCATTCATTCAACAAACATAGATGAGAAGGCAGAAGGGTGCAAAGACCCTGAGGTGAGAACCAGCTTGTCATTTTGAGGGAATGGACCCAAGGCCAGGAGCTACAGTGGAGTGAATGAGTCAGAGGGTGGTAGGAGGTGAAGAGGAACAAGGGCTAGATTGTAGTCCTTGATTAGATAGCTTTCAAGAGATTTTAGCGACGAAACAGCTAAGATGTGGGACTCTGGAGCCCCTTGTCCTGGGTTTGAATCTCACTTCTGCATAGCTGTGTCACTTTGGGCAATTCAGTTAACCTCTCTGGCCTGCTTCCTCATGTGGAAAAATGGGAATAATTTTTAGTCTACCTCCTTCATAGAGTTTTCTTGAGGATGATGTGAGCTGTTGATGTGAGTAAAGACCTTTAGAACTATGCCTGGCCCACAACAACACACAATTTACCCATGTAACAAACCTGCACATGTACCCCTTGTACCTAAAATAAAAGTTGAAAAACATATATACAATGTGCCTGGCACATGGGAAGTACTACATAAGAGCTATCTGTTACTGTTACCTATTGCATTGTGTCTGTGTGTGTTTCTCTCCCTCTAACCATGAAGGTTAGAGGGAGAGATTGGATTGGATTCCATCTTTTTCCCTTGTATCTTTCTCTCCCTGTGGGTATCCCTGATTTTGACTCCATCTGGTCAGACTTCCTCTTCAAATTCCTGGTGATCGGCAGTGCAGGAACTGGCAAATCATGTCTCCTTCATCAGTTCATTGAGAATAAGTGTGAGTTTCCCGCAGTGGGAACCCTGAGCTGGGCATGGTGCGGGCAGGTGGGCAGTTGTTGGGGAGGGCAGGGCTGGCCATAGGTAGTACAAGTCCAGTGCTGGCTTTTTGGCCTTTGCTTTGTCGTATGTCCTTTACTAGGTTCTCCTTGGCCTCAGTCACTCCAGCAATGAGAATGGGTTTGTAGAGACTGAGAGGGCCTTGGAGGATGGGGGATCCTCTCAGCTGCCTCCTCTCTCCCTGCACTGCCCCTTCTGTTCCTCCCACTCCCAGTCAAACAGGACTCCAACCACACGATCGGCGTGGAGTTTGGATCCCGGGTGGTCAACGTGGGTGGGAAGACTGTGAAGCTACAGATTTGGGACACGGCTGGCCAGGAGCGGTTTCGGTAGGTGGGCTGGGCTCCCAAGGGTGATGGGGAGAGAGAGAGAGAAAGAAAGAGAGAGAGAGAGATTTGTGTGCAGAGTCACTTGGAGACACTGAGAGGGCACACAAGGCAGAGAGAGAGAAGAGACACTATAGTTAGCAGGTACGTATATCTGCAGAGAGAGAAGGAGTACTGGAGAGAGAAAGAGACAGCAGGAGAAAAAGAGGTAGGGGCCAGGTGCAGTGGCTCATGCTGGTAATCTCTGTGCTTCGGGAGGCCGAGGTGGGAAGACTGCCTAAGCCCAGGATTTTAAGACCAGCCTGGGCAACATAGTGAGACCCCATCACAAAGAAAGAAAAATAGAAGAAGAGAGGCTTGGAGATGGGGCAAGGGATAGAGACTGAGAGACACTAAAATAGAGACGGAGAAACTTGAGAGACACACACTCAGAAAGGAAAAGAGCAGAGACAGAGACTAAGAGAGTTGAAGAGAAAGATAAGGGGGGATAGGAGGCCAGGTGTGTATGGCTCATGCCTATAATTCCAGCACTTTGGGAGGCTGAGGCGGGTGGATCACCTGAGGTCAGGAGTTCAAGACCAGCCTAGTCAACATGGTGAAACCCTGTCTCTACTAAAAATACAAAAAAAAATTTAGCCAGGCCGTGGTGGCACATACCTGTAATTCCAGCTACTTGGGAGGCTGAGGCAGGGGCGACAGAGCCAGACTCTGTCTCAACGAATGAATGAATGAATGAATGAATAAATAAATAAGGGAGAGGAGAAGACACCAAAAAACAGAGGTCAGGGGCAGAGAGGGAGACGGGGCATGTTGGACAGGTATAGTTGAATGAATTAATGGATGCATTCATGGGAAGACAAGGGTGAGCATGAGAGAGCCACAGAGACGGAACAGAAAAAAAGGCAGTGAGAAGTAGGGAACTGAAGACACACAGGCCAAGGCAGGAGAATCGCTTGAGTCCAGGAGTTTGAGAACAGCCTGGGCAACATTGAGAAATCCCGTCTTTCCGAAAGAGAGATGGAGAGATGGACGTGTTGTGGGAGAGAGAGAAATGCGTAGGGCTTAGTGCACAGTAAGTCTTCAGGAAATGCCTGCAGAAAAGTTGATAGACACAGCCAGGTGCGGTGGCTCATGCCTATAATCTTAGCACTTTGGGAGGCCAAGGCGGGTGGATCACTTGAGGTCAGGAGTTCAAGAGCAGACTGTCCAACATGGCCAAACCCTGTCTCTACTAAAAATACAAAAATCACCTGGGTGTGGTGGTGGATGCCTGTAACCCCAGCTACTTGGGAAGCTGAAGCAGGAGAATCACTTGGATTTGGGGGGCAGAGGTTGCAGTGAACCAAGATCACGCCACGGCACTCTAGCCTGGGAGACAGAGCAAAACTTTATCTCTAAATAAATAAATAAATAAATGACACACAGGGCCAGCACGGTGACTCAGGCCTGTAATCCCAGCACTTTGTGAGGCTGAGGTGGGTGGATCACTTGAGGTTAGGAGTTCGAGACCAGACTGGCCAACATGGCAAAACCTCATCTCTACTAAAAATACAAAAACTAGCCGGGCGTGGTGGCTCAAGCCTGTAATCCCAGCACTTTGGGAGGCCGAGGCAGGTGGATCACGAGGTCAAGAGATCGAGACCATCCTGGTCAACATGGTGAAACCCTGTCTCTACTAAAAATACAAAAAATTAGCTGGGCATGGTGGCACATGCCTGTAATCCCAGCTACTCAGGAGGCTGAGGCAGGAGAATTGCCTGAACCCAGGAGGAGGAGGTTGTGGTGAGCCAAGATCACGCCATTGCACTCCAGCCTGGGTAACAAGAGCGAAACTCCGTCTCAAAAAAAAAAAAAAAAAAAAAAAAAACTAGCCAGATATGGTGGTATGCATCTGTAATCCTGGCTACGCGGTAGGCTGAGGTGGGAGAATTGCTTGAACCCCAGAGGTGGAGGTTGCAGTAAGCTGAGATCTTGCCACTGCACTCCAGCCTAGGTGACAAAGTGAGACTCCCACTCAAAAAAAAGATCCATTGGCCAAGGCCAAGGCAGGAGAATCACTTGAGCCCAGGAGTTGAAGCCCAGCCTGGGCAATAATAGCAAAATGCCATCTTTACAAAAATATAAAGAAATTAGGCTGGGTGAGGTGGCTCATGCCTGTAATCCCAGCACTTTGGGAGGCTGAGGTGGGTGGATCACCTGAAGTCAGGAGTTCAAGACCAGCCTGACCAACATGGAGAAACCCTGTTTCTACTAAAAATACAAAATTAGGCAAGCGTGGTAGTGGGCACCTGTAATCTCAGCTACTCGGGAGGCTGAGGCAGGAGAATGACTTG